AGGGTGTACACTTATATTTTTGAGTGAAAGACCCCTCGCCCGCCGCTGAGCTCCGTCGCGCTCGTGGTCATGGTAGTGATGATGGTGGTGATGAAGTTGGTGATGGTAGTGATGATGGCGATGATGGTAGTGACGGTGACGGCCGTCAAGTGATGAGCGGCGCCGATTCATAATCTTGCTAAACGTTTTGCGTGGGCCCATTGATTCATTCATTCGCATTTGAAAAGTGCTCTGAAAACTACAGGAGATGGCGTCTTTTGTGACGCCAATTTTTGTTCTTTTTGTATCCTCTTTTTGACGCTGAATGTTGGCGTCCTTGAAGGCCAATACATTTGGCGTTTTCTTTTTTTCTTCTTCTTCTTTTTTTAGCGTCTTTCAACGCAAAAATTTGGCGTTGTTTTTTGGGGACACCCAAATTAAGCGTCTTCTTTGGACGCGTTTTTTTTTTAAATTTATTCTTTTTATGCCAATATCTTGGCGTCTAGGGATGCAAGCCGATTATTTTGAGTGTGAGTCCCTCGGTGCGCCCGGGCGCCACGAGGACGCCGTCGTGTGATGGTCCCGGTGCCGCCGTCTGCTGCCGTGGTCGTGCTGTACCGCGGCGCGGCCGTGCGGGCGGGCTGCCTACCCGTGAGGGGCTCCCAGCGCCGCGCTGCCCGCGGGGCCACGACAGGCAGCAGCAGCTGCTCTCCGCCTGCGGCCAACAAAACGTTACTCTCCGCGCCGCAAATACATTGCTGTAATTTAACCTTGCATAAAAATGCCCTCAGAACTATTATTTTATTTTCATTTTTATACTGAAAATGCTACGTTTGTTTCACAGTGCATATTGCGCGCTTGCCCATTTTGTTTCAGTTTGGCTCTGCTCCGCTTTTCTCCGCCCTGCGTCGTTTCCCGCCGCGTCCGCCGCCGCCGGCCGTTTGTAACAATCATGACGAATGACGCTCTTTCCTGAACTGTCTCTCTGTTTTCCGTAGTATAGTATAGCCGCTTGCCATTCTCTCTCTCTTCCGCTTTTGCTCTTTGCGCTACTCCTCTCACTTCCTCCTCCCGCTCTCTCCTACCTCTGCATTTCGAGTGCATGAAAAACAATCGAAGCGCTGGCGGAGGCAAGCTTAGCGCAAGAGTGCAGTGCTGTGCTGGTCTCTGAGGCGCGGCGTCCTTGGCTGCTGCTGCTGCTGCTGCTGCTGGCTGGCGCCCGCGGGCAGTGCG